GGCAGACGCACATCGGACACACAGACAACCCCTAGTATGCCTTTTCTGCATTGTATAGCTGCAAAAAACGTATAAAAAACGAACCAGCTTAGCCCACGCCTCTCTCCTCCCCCCTCCCCCCCTCCGCCGTCCCGCGCCGTCCAGTGGGCATATGTGGGAACAAATCTGGCCGGACACTGTACTACCGGCGGTGGCTAGAAAGGCGAGGCGGGATGGGCAATGCTGATTAAAGCATATTACAACTGCACGAAGGTGCCGAAGTCATGTCGAATGCGGGTAAATTACGTTCACACTACGCTCAGACAAATCGCCCTCGTAGAAATCTACGAATGGAAGCGAAGCATCTCAGTTTCATAAGGCGAGGTCGTCCCACATCGAAGCATCTCCCCAGCCGCATACTCCGAGAGTTCATCCGGACCAGCTGACCAACTTCTACCAGCACAACCGCGCCGCCATACGTGAATCCAGGATGAACTCCCGGAGGAGATGGGGGGAGGGGGAAGCTCCGAGGAGGCGGAGGGTGGGAGGAGGGGAATGGCGGAGGGTGGAGAGCCCTGAAGAGCGACGACGGAAGGTGGGGGATTCTGGGAAGCGACGGGGGTGGGGAAGAGCCTCCTCTCACTCTGGAACTATGTAAAAACTACAAATAGAGTTGTAGCGCTGCTATTTGGAGTTACTTTAATTTCATTTGTGAACAGACTCAGGCTTCCGCAGCACTGGTGCCTGTGCCCTTCGCGAGAGGGGGAGGGGGTGGGGGAAAAGAGGGGGACAGGCTGGACCCAACCTACGGGCACCGCTCGACTGGACGCCGGGACGAATGAATAGCTGCCTGGATGAATGGCTTCGTGGATAGTGTCGTCTGTGACGAATGACTGTGTGGGTGAATAGCTTCACGTACAGTTTAGGGATTTGACCTGTGCTGTGAGGTGTGGTGGTCAGTGGCCTGGTAAATTGGTGTTCATTTCGTCTGCTGAGTTTGGGTGTGAACTGCGTAATGCTTCTAGTGGATTCATGTCTCTGTGAAAATTAGGCTCCATTCGTGCCATTTCAGACGAGTTGAACCAATACGGCGGCTGGATAAAGAGACTATCCCTATGTCTCTTTGGCCAGTGGGCACTCGTGTTAATTACCGATGGAGTGTGAGAAAGGTAAGTGTTGATGAGGTGTTTTTTAGGATGTTGATGAGCACGAATCCGGCCGAGTACCAGGGCTCGCAGACGCAGTTCTATGCGCCAGTGGTGGTGGGCGAGATGTGCATCACGAAGCGACGCGACGTGCTCCCCGGAAGGAGTCGTGCCCGATATCTGCATGGGCAACTGCTGCTCGATGGCAAGTGTTCGTTGGATTTGAACGAAGGCTATAGTAGTTTCGAGAAAAAGGACGAAATGAACAACGAGAAGTTGGACACACTGCTCAAGTGGATTGTGATGCACGGCGGCGAGCCGGGCTGCTCGCTGGTCAAGGTGAGAGTGCTAAGGGATGAAACACAGGCTGCTTCTTCACACTGATATGAGAGAGAATTTGATAATTTTGAAACAAAACAGTGCGCAAAAAGATTGGAACATATTCTCAAAAGGAATGTTCCAGTCCATTAAGGCGTATACATTCCTGCTAGAAACTATTCACAGTCTGCTAAGGCGTATACATTCCTCTAGTTCGTGCCTGCAGCTTTCTTGTTATTACCGGCAGAAATGGTGCAGTCATAGGCCTATCCAGGGCGGATATATTCGAAACAGGAATGTTCCAGTTCATTGAGTCGCATACATTCCTATTAGAAACCGTCCACAGTCCATTAAGGCGTATACATCCCTCTAGTTCCTGCCTGCAGCTTCCTTGTTATTACCGACAGACATGGTGCAGTCATGGGCTGATCCAGGGCGGTTTCCTAAGTTGGGGGAGGAGGGAGGAGGGCGATTTTGACTATTTTCCTCCCCCGCCTCCCATTCGGGAGCCCCACCCTTCCTCCCCCCCCCCC